CACGTGGCACATGATTTCCATGTATTTTTCAACGAGGAATCCAAATCCGTTGTCTCCGGCACGATATTCCTACGTTCACATAAAGAAAAATGCGTAACCATGCAGCATGGATATTTTATATATTTATTAACGAAAATATTTCTATTCTATCTTTTGTTGTCGTCTTATTTTATGAATATTTATTGCTATTTAATGTAACTAATCCAGGAAAAGTTAGGTACCTAACTGATGAGGCATTTATTGCAAAATAGGTGATTTTAATAGATTAATTATATGTTACCTTATGCCAGATGTACGATTATTGAGTCAGGTTTATGGACAACATATTATTTCGAGTACTGATTTTATTTGCGTAAACGATCCATTTTACTTGTACAGTTTCGAATGTTAATGACATTTGTGTTATATGCAGATATGCATATATATATATACATATATATTACTCTTAATTCGTCGGTATGTTACAGTGTTTTCAGTCAACATCACTATTATCTGATTCAGTCTCTTCTTGGGTAGTGTCAACAAGTAATAGTCTTTTCATTTCTTCCGACAATTTGATCTTTTTGTCTTTGGTAATATTTTGAGAGATGTTATTAGTGGATCGGAATTTAGAAAAAGTCTCTGATACATATCTTTATTTGTTTCGATTCTGAAAAAATTATTATTTTAATTGACAATCTTATAATTCTTTATGTACTGATTGATTTTACATTTTTTAAATTACAAAGATTAGTTTGTCACATATAATAATAATAATAATAATAATAATCTACATTTGAATACGGAATATTATTGACGATTTTTTACAAAAGCAAATTTTTATCCAAAGAGATTTTAATGTTGATAATTATCTTACTTTACATTTTAACAAAGAAATATTAATAAATACCTAGAGCATTTTTTTGTAAATTTTTCTCTAAATCTCTTAACGTTCTTATTATTACTCTCTAAAGCTTCTTCTGAAAAATATCCGATCGGTAGAATAAGTCTATCCATAATTTTCCAACCATGTAATAAGATAACGTGTACAGAGGGGGGCATGTAGTAGAAGATACACAATGTAACATACATTTTAGCTGTGTCTTCACAATAGTTTTGAAATTCCTCAGTATTTATTTTATATCCAGACGATATCACTACAAGAATAACATGGAACCTTTGAAGTAGATCTTCATCAAATCCTACAACACCAAATTTTTTATAGATATAAAATATAATAACAGAGATCTGATAATAAAATCCACAATCCATGATTCAGTGATTACAATTACCAGTTAAATTGGAAACTATCTTAAAGTTCTTGAAGAATTTTCTAGCGGTGTTATCATCGTTTGTGTTACCAGCACCTTGTAAAACAATATCGACTAATATACCCAGCTCGTCTCGAAGACTACATTGAATTAATTTTTTGCGTTGCTCAACTTCTTCTACATTCGTTTTAGAAATCTATAAAAATGAAAAATATTAATGATACATTTCTATGATACGACACTTTACATGAGTGTTTTATATTTTTTACAATATAAAATAAATATCCACATTCAAAAATTTTAAATTAATCAATGAAAACAGTTGAATATATACTCTGGACTGATTTTATTTGAAGGAATTTTGAACATAATTGGTATAGAGTTTAATTTTATTTATTTTTTTTTAATTTAGTACTCACCCTCCACGTTGCATTTTCTCCCAAAACTAAACGGTAACTTATATGAAGCACTAATTCCATAAATCTAATATGCGCATGTAGTATGGAAAACCCATAACTCAATGATTCCGGATCAACTTCCATGTTTATCAATGTTTCAATATCGTTTAAATGAGATCTTGTTGTTTTGCATATAAAGCACGTTTGGCTAGATGTATTATTAAGAGCACCACAAACCTAAGTCGGTTAAATATTTATTAATATTATATTTATAATGTCGAAGACTGAAAGAAACTAAGAAAAATTAATACATTCCCATCAATCATTGTTAGTTCCATTTGAAAGCCTACATTACATCCATTAATACGAAGATCTTTTAAGTTATCAATTTCTTTTTTAAGTTTTGATTCTTCCTTTTGAATTAATAGAGTAGTTTCTTTTTCAAAATAAATATTGATTGCTCGGCAAAATCTAGTTGACGAAGGTCGGGGATTTTCCCAATAAACGATATTGTTTTTTCTGTCTACTAATTGAAGTGGAATCATACACGAACAGAAAATTGCAGTATTTGCGCCTTCATTTTGAAATAACTCTTGCTTATATGTTTTTATATTTGTTCCATCAAATCCATATTTACAAATTAAAATCAATCTTGGGGAATTATTTAACTCTTCATTAAAATTTCATTTTAGAAATTCAAATAACCGTTCAACTGTATGATAAAGAAGCTCTTGTAACGGCACTGTACAGTCTTGCTTTGTTACTTCGTAGTTTTGTGGATAAGTTTTTACTTTTTCTGCTAAAACCTAAAATACTCATTTTTAACAAAAAATTTTCAAACCAAATTTTATGAACTCAAGCATACTAATAATTTAACTAACCTTGCGGTATGAAGGGTATAAATCATGACCGTGTTCAATAGAATTATTTCTAAGTTCTTGATAAGTCGATTGTGTGAAGTTTAAATCGACTAATAAGCGAACCGCATTCAATGGTTTCATTTGTGAACAGTTTGAATATTTCTGTTCCTTTTGTAGTATATTATTTGCATAATCTTCCTGACACAATTTATCGAAGATTTTTAAGGCACTATGATTTCCTTCATTTTTAAATTTTCTTTTCGCCAAATCAAAACACTCTTTAGCAGTAATGCTTTCAGATAAATTACGGATCATCCTAAATTGCGTTCTGCTAGACGAATTTTCGTACGATACAGAAGGTCTTCCTGGTTTGTAATTTTGAAAAGAAAATCATAAAATAACATAAAATCATTTTTTATTTTGATTTTTATGCAAGTATACGAAAATGACGATCTACTCAAAAAAAGATTTCAATTCTAAATTCGGAAGTTCAAAGCTAAATACGCTGTGAATAATTTAAATAATTGTATTTAAAAATAGAATTAATAATCGTGAAATCGAGTAAAAATAAAAATGAAAAAAAAAACTTTTATACGACCTTAATGAGTTATCACGATTTAGAGAAAATTTGATAAAGCATTAATGCATCGTAAATTAATATATCGTCAATAAACAGGAAATCTCTAGTTATTTACAGTCGAACCTGACGCACTACCTCCTACCGCACTGCCTTTTCCCGTGCACTGCGCGCTCTCTCTCCCTAAGCACTGCGCGGCAAACACTGCCGTATACTGCTAATCCGCGAACCAGGTATCATCCCGTATACTCTAAGATGGCAGAAAGTAAAAACCATGTAATCTTATGTATTTTTACCTGCTGAATCCAATGGTACTAATAATTTTTACGACAAACCCCTAGGCTTTGTTTAAAACTCAGTTGTTTAAATAATCGTGTACAAATAATTCTTTTTCAATAAAATAATTTTTTATAGATAATTTGGGTCATTTTAAGATGAAAACGTCTCTTGTAGTTTTTTTTTTAAATACATTTTTAAAAAGTTAATAATTGAAAAATTAACTTTTTTTGCAAGTTTAACTGTTAATAATTTTTGATCTATTAAATATTTTTTTGAAATTGATAACTCAATTTTTTCAAAATTGTGCACTGTAAATATGTAATATTTATAAACAACTTTTAGAATTTAGGTTTGGAAAAATATAAGTTTCCTATTTTTCTCTATATGTAATTTCATTGAAAAATAAGCATTTCCGGGATTGAATAATAAGCATTATTGAAATATTTATTTGTCAATGAGAAACATTTTTAACCTTAATATTTCATTAAAATTTAAATACCACGATAAAGCAATACTCAAAAAACATTATTTATTTTCATCAATGAAGCATTTTTTTAATTACCCAAGCCACGTGGAAAATATGCATTAATATTTACTTTTATTTAGTAAGGAATACATTTTTAACCATCAAATTTACTGTTTTTCTCTAGAAAGTATAGCGCGTATAATATTTTCCGGTGTCAAATTTATTCGGGCCCCTCAGATCTCCGCTCACCAGCGGGAGTATACGCACACCTGGTCCAACGCTCTGATTGGCTGACGCGCGGCGTGCAGTGCACGGGTCGGCTACTCCCGAGAGCAGGCAGTGCGTTAGGTTCGACTGTACTCATAAAAACTAGTTTGCCATGTTTGGTAACGTTATTTTAAAGTCAAAATCAATGAGAAAATTTCTCAACAAATAAAGTGAATATGAATCTTCGGGCTTATAAATACGCCTCGCGCATGCGCAACTTTTTAAATACGCCTCGCGCATGCGCAACTTTTTAAAATCGGAAAAATTTTCTACTAATCTTATTTGAATCTTATAGAATTATAATATCATAATCGACTTTGATATAATTAAGAATATTCGAAATCAAACCATTTAAGATATATTTAAATATACTGATAAGGGTTTGAATTTCAAAATAAAATTAAAAAAAAAGATTAAGCACTACCCGAATAACACAAAAACGCTTTGAAAACGTTTTGAAAACGTTTTGTGAAAAACGAAATAGCGTTTTCCAAATTAAGTTAAAAAAACGTTTCGAAAACGTTTAGAAAACGTAAAATATGTCCGGTATCTTTTCGGTATTTGTATTTGCAAACGTTTTCAAGGCGTTTTCAACGTATTTTGAAAACGTTTTCCAAACCATGCTTATGCCGATTGAAAAGCTTCAACGTTTTCAAAACGTTTTCAACGCGTTTTAAAGACGTTTTTCAAACCATGCTTATGCCGATTGAAAAGCTTCAACGTTTTCAAAACGTTTTCAACGCGTTTTGAAGACGTTTTCTAATCCATGCTTATATGAATTAAAAAGTTTATACGTTTTCAAGACGTTTTCAAAGCGTTTTTCCAATAAAAAGATTTTTTATATATTTATTTTTTTTTGGTTATTTATTGAAATATAAGAATATACACAAGCTACAGTAATTTAAATTATAATTCTTCGAAATAGATGTCATCCTTCTCGTTTATAAACAAAGTGTCTCGATCTGGTCTTTGCTCGTCTTCAGGCTGAGTACCTCTTCGAGCTCTCTTCGGATTTTGGATATCTGAAATAGTTGAAAAACAATTTAAAAACATTAATTTAATTCATCTTTATTTTTACTATTACCATGATCAGCTTCGTTAATTTCTTCCGTTGAAGCATCTTCATATTGATTGCATCCATTTTCTCCATAAATCAGATACTCACACACAGACGTTTTTCCTTTTCTTTTCTTTGATTTCGGCTTATCTGAAAATAATTTCCAATGAAATTTGTTTTTTTAAACATGGTTTCGTTTCGCGTAACAAAATTTATTTTTCATTTTTTCTTATACTAGGAAAAACTAAATAGAAAAACGTTCTCATCAATAGTAAGACTATCATCGTAAATAAACAATCTTTCTTTTATGTGGTAATAAATATATAAACTTACAATGCTTTCCTTTAAATGGTGACGACTTAAGGTAATCACTTATATATGATTTTACTTGACTGTCACTAATTGTAGGTTTTCCTTCTTTATCCTGGGAAGCAAGTAAAACCGCCGCTATAACAAAGAATAAATTTTCGTCAATTAATTTTAAATATTAATTGAAACCTCTGTGTGTATACGTGGCTTAACTTTCCACGTAAAAGAAAACGTATGGGATATAGTACATTCTAAAAGGGTGTAAAAGTGTGTGTCCTTCAGTCGTTTTTTTCCATTTTGGCCAAGACATGAATACAGATTCTGCAGTTCTCGGGGCATTACTGTATTTATTAAATTTCTTGCTGTATTTCTCCAATCGTCATAGCATATTTTTTCCATCATCAGTTTTATCTGAAAAATATAATTTCAGTAAGATTCTACGAATCCATGATTTCAAATTCTTCCGCGACATCTTCAAAGTCCAATATTTCAGAACGTGATTAATATGCCTAACTCATTTTGGATTTAGAATTTACTAGACTATACATTCTATTTTCTTTGTTAAAAATGAATATTTTATTCTACGAATTATAAGAAATCAAGTACAATTATAAAAAATATGGATATGGATTTTCATAAAAAAAAATGAGTATTAACTTACCACTTTTGATTTGAATTTGGGCGAATGTTCCAATTCATTGTTGCAATCTTGAAATTGGTTCACATTTTTCATGTCTTTTAAGTAGCCAATTAAAGCTACTTTTTGTGAACACCATTTTGAGTTTTTGGTCTCATTAACAGTCTGTATATTTGGACTAGCCATACTACTAGCTTTGTATTGATTTACAATAATTTGGTCTTGCCTTGCTGAAATAAAAATATCCTTGCAATTAAGATAGCAGTAAGCAAAAAAAAAATGCCATAGTACTTAAAATAGTATGCTGCAATTGCTCCATAATACCAGGTTATTGGGATCAGAAAAGTTCATCTTGCTCTTAGCGGCTAAAATCGATTAGTCGTGAGACAAGTTTGAAATTGCCATCTTGCATATAAATGCATTATATTTACAGCTAAGTTCGCTGAAGCGAACTTTTCGGATCCCAATAGCTCTAGCGAGCCACGCAGTGTTATAAATGAATCAAACGAACCTATGACTTTCTTCAAAAGATCAATGATAATTAGCAATAAATCCTTTTCTGTTCTTAAACCAGTATCTGAAATTAATACCAAATAAATAAGATAAGATTTGATAAATGTAATTAACATTCAACTAAATTTGCATTACGTGATGTAATCTTTCAAACTTACTGTCTGTAGAAAGCATTGAAGAGACTTGTTTAAATATATCAGTCGTGTGGGTAGCTTGCTCATCGTTTTCTTCAGATTGAAACACGTCAGCTGTATAATTATTGTCCTGGCTAAGATTTCTTTTTTCTTCTGGAAGGGATGTATTTAATTGAAAAAGTATTAATCTAATGATGCAAAAAATAGATCGACAACATATCTTTGAAAAAAAGAGTTTTAAATAAAAACTACTAATTTGTAATACATTTTAAACTCGATTGAAATTAAAATTTGTGTGAATTGTAAGAAAAATTACAAAAAGTTAAGTACTTAGTTTTAAAATCTATTTTTTGAGCGTTGTAGAAATACGTATACATTTTTCACGTAAACACAAATAGAACAATTATAAAAAAAAGCGTGAAAAGTGACCGAGTTACGAATTTTTTTTATAGAATTAATCAATTTTTTAATAAAATAGAGATGTATTATAAGGATATAACTCCCTTTGATTTTTTTGTAATACTTTGAAAGATCTTTTTAGAATCTGTTGATTTATGATTCTTGGTTTATTCCCCTTATTTCCAGTATTTTCCGTCAACAGTTGCGTACCTACTGAATTATCCTCTTTTACAGCAAAATGAAAATCATAATTAGGGACTGTATTTCACCCGGTCCATTTAAATGTTAGTTAATTATGTTATTAAACAAACCTTTAGATGCTTTTACAGTCTGTGACAATACTACATTACTCGTAGGTATAGCAGGTAAATTATCAATTTCTTTTTCTTTTATATTTTTACTATTTTTTTCTACGTTTAATTTGTTGACTTCCTTTTTTATGGGTAATGATTGTATCATGTAGTATTCATCGAACTTGTTGTTTCTTGATCTTGTTTTTCTTAGATTTTTATTTTGCAGCTCGCGATATGCTACGTCTGCATCTGATGAATGATCTTCACAAAGATTCATCATGTTCAGAGCATCATAATACTGTGTTGTTGCTGTGAATTCAAAAATACGTTTCCTACATACAAATTAAGTATACAATTGTTTATTTTTTAATAAATGGTTAAATATGCGTTCAGATATCAATTAATTACACCGGCACAAAAAAAAAAGTGGTCATTACTTTGGGGAGACATATGTACCTTTTATATTTAGACCCGCTGGATCCGAATCCGTCGTCAGATATGCCAATATACGTCCAAAATCGAGCGCAAAATCGAAAAATAGCTCAAAAACATGAATAAACGAGGAAAATTAGTTTCTGGAACTTGATTATAGGCAGATTTAAAACTACACAAAAATCGAAAGCCAAATGCCCTATACTCTGCGAGTCACAAACCCCAAGAACCCTGTACGCTGCAAGTCTCAAAACCCAAGAGAGTAAACGGCAATCTTTAAACCCCAAATGCCCTGTACTTAGCGAGCTTTAAACCCCAAGAACTCCAAGAACCCTGTAGGCTGCAAGTCTCAAAACCCAAGAGAATAAACGGCAATATTTAAACCCCAAATGCCCTGTACTATGCGACTTTAAAACGCTGGACGAGCAAATAATAAACTTCAAACCCCAAATGCCTTGTACTATACCAGTCTCAAAACCCAGGAGAGTAAATGGCAAGCTTCGAAACCTAATAACCCTGTAGGCTGCAAGTCTCAAAACCCAGGAGAGTAAACGGCAAGCTTCAAACCCCAAATGCTCTGTACTCTGTGACTTTTCAGTCCAGGAAAAATATCCCGAAAATAAGCCGTTTGCGTTTTGGAGATCCGACATTCTGATTTTTTAATATGTTATAGGAAATAATGTCTGCAATATGATGATTTGTTTTCACCCTCGCGATTTTTGGCAGAACATTGCTAAACAGTCGGTCATATTTGAAAAAGTGGTAAAAAATTTAATTTTCCGCGAATATCTTTTTACTTATTGATTATCTTAAATAATAGCTATCATACTTGCGATTCGTTTTTCAAATATCTACAAAACGACATTTCGAACGTTGAAAAATACTTATTAGATCAATAGTTATTGTAATAAAAATTATTATTTATTGTTATTTAATTATTTACATGCTGACAATGTAAAGATCTTCATACTTAGCCCAGTCTTGTATTTTTAACTAACTGATCATTGCTACGGAATCCGCAATCAATAAGTTGAATAGTTCGGGAGTTATGGTCTTATAAATTGCAAAATGAAATAAACAATGAAGCCGTCTCATTGTATGTAATATTATTATATATTCGAACAGCTTATAAAAAGAGCTTTGATTAAAAAAAAAACATCAAGAATCGTTCTAAAGCAACGAAACTACAGACTATGAAACTTTTAAGCCAATTGAGCAACAAATTGCGGAGCAGTAAAAAAAAACTTTATTATTCAGTATACCCTGTTACATGATATCTATTATCATTATTACTCTCCACCCAAGGTATGTCGCTTAAAAAACTTGAAAAATAAATCGTGTATCGATGGAAATGTTACAATTGAGAGTGCGGCGGAAGAGTGGGAGTCGTCCGTTCGCTACAGTAAAAATCTTGCAGGCCGTTCAAAATCGATGACGCTATTAAAATTTCACTTTTTTCGAGGACTATAAAAGATAAATTCATAATTTTTTTTTAATTTTATACTACGAGACGAGACAATTATGTATGACTAATTGAAGGTTCTCAAAGAAAATGTAATTCTATTAATTGATTAAAAAGTATGTATTTGTATGATTAAAAAGTATGTATTTTATAAGATATAAAAGGTATAAAAGGTATAAAAACTACAGGGTTCTTGGGGTATGAGACTAGCAGTGTACATGGTTCTTGGGGTTTGAAACTAGCAGCGTACAGGGTTCTTGGGGTTTAATACAAGCAGCGTACAGTGTTCTTGGGGTTTAAAACTAGCAGCGTACAGTGTTCTTGGAGTTTAAAACTCGCAGAGTACAGGGCATTTGGGGTTTAAAGCTTGCCGTTTACTATCCTGGGGTTTGAGACTCGCAGAGTATAGGGCATTTGGCTTTCGATTTTTGTGTAGTTTTAAATCTGCCTATAATCAAGTTCCAGAAACTAATTTTCCTCGTTTATTCATGTTTTTGAGCTATTTTTCGATTTTGCGCTCGATTTTGGACGTATATTGGCATATCTGACGACGGATTCGGATCCAGCGGGTCTAAATATAAAAGGTACATATGTCTCCCCAAAGTAATGACCACTTTTTTTTTTGTGCCGGTGTAATTAATTGATATCTGAACGCATATTTAACCATTTATTAAAAAATAAACAATTGTATACTTAATTTGTATGTAGGAAACGTATTTTTGAATTCACAGCAACAACACAGTATTATGATGCTCTGAACATGATGAATCTTTGTGAAGATCATTCATCAGATGCAGACGTAGCATATCGCGAGCTGCAAAATAAAAATCTAAGAAAAACAAGATCAAGAAACAACAAGTTCGATGAATACTACATGATACAATCATTACCCATAAAAAAGGAAGTCAACAAATTAAACGTAGAAAAAAATAGTAAAAATATAAAAGAAAAAGAAATTGATAATTTACCTGCTATACCTACGAGTAATGTAGTATTGTCACAGACTGTAAAAGCATCTAAAGGTTTGTTTAATAACATAATTAACTAACATTTAAATGGACCGGGTGAAATACAGTCCCTAATTATGATTTTCATTTTGCTGTAAAAGAGGATAATTCAGTAGGTACGCAACTGTTGACGGAAAATACTGGAAATAAGGGGAATAAACCAAGAATCATAAATCAACAGATTCTAAAAAGATCTTTCAAAGTATTACAAAAAAATCAAAGGGAGTTATATCCTTATAATACATCTCTATTTTATTA